CAAATGTGTGGTAGATCATATTCCCTTCCCTTCAACCCAATGTCGGATGCATTAGAGTTGCCAGATATTGTCTATACAACAGTAATGCCGCCAACTGTAAGACGAACTGTGGGTCGGCCAAAAAAACGACACAGGCAAACAGAGTACAAAGTGATTAGGCCTCTTAAGTGTAACCGCTGCAGGGTCGTGGGCCATAACCGGAAAACATCTAAATCAAGTATATGAAATGACGTAACGAGGCCATTAGTGTCAGTTGATATATTCTTTATATGCCATTTTGTTTTTAAATTTGTATAAAGGTCAGTGCCAGCTGATATGACTTTTTGCTTCAATTAATGAAATATCTAAAGTTCTTGATTGATGAGTGTATGTTCAATTTGCTTCAAATTGATGAGTGTATGTTCAAATTGTTCAAATTAAAAAAAAAACAAGTGTTTATTTTTACCGTAAAGCTCAGTATTAACTTCATGGTAAAAAAAAAAAACCGTAAAGATTATTGCTGTAGCCTTTTTACCGTAAAGATAAAACATAGCTTTACAGTAAAACAAAGATCGTAATGCTCTAAAGAGCTTCTAGAAAACTGAGAATTACAGTCTTTTTTATACCGTAAAGATTTAAGTGATCTTTACCGTAAAAAAAATATCATAACGACTATTATGATAATATTTTTACCATAAAGATAAAATAGAGCTTTACGGTAAAACAAAAACCCTAATGCTCTAAAGAGCATATGAAAAACTGAGCATTACGGTCTTTTTGATACCATAAAATTTAAAGTGATCTTTATGATAAAAAAAATAGCTTAAAGATTATGACGGTAATCTTTTTACCGCAAAGATAAAATAGAGCTTTACAGTAAAACAAAGACCGTAATGCTCTAAAGAGCTTATGGAAAACTAAGCCTTACGGTCTTTTTGATACCGTAAAGTTTTAAGTGATCTTTATGGTAAAAAAAATACCGTAAAGATTATTATGGTAATCTTTTTACCGTAAAGATAAAACTAAGATTTACATTAAAAAAAAGATCGTAATTATTTTTTCACTTTTTTAAAAAAATTTGAACATGCCACACACATAACACCACAACACCTTAAGGGTGTGTTCGACACATGGAGTTTTTGGCAGTGGAAGGGACTCTCCCACAAATAATGGAAGTCTGTTCTTCCATCATTTTTTATGGAAGAGAGGTCTTTCAAAAATAAACCCATTTTAACACTAAAAAATGCCACGTTCGTGGTGAGTCATCAATACTATGGTCAGAGGATACAATCCTGCTCTCTTGACCAAATCGATTTAATCATTGTTTGTTAAAGGCCATAAAGAAGCTGCATTGGCCTTCTCATCAACCCTGAGGGGGTTTTCCCAATCCTGTAATCGAAATTGTGATTTCAAAAACTAAAATAAATAAATTGATTAACCAACATGATAGACAAATAATATAATTTAAAATAATTGTACATACATCTCCCTCCCAAATCTTCTATGATATATGCTCTCTCTGTCTATTGAGCAATGTAGGAATCTCAAGACCTCCAGGATAGGGTGCATCTTCTGCTATGATCCCTGTTCAAAAATCCATCATAAACAACAAACTCATGGTACATATACTACTACTGGTCTATCAAACACTTGATAAATATTATGACAAAGTAAAAGAACAATCAGTAAAAGAAACTATAGAAGCCCATTCAATCTTAATTAGGACACAAAGTTTAACTACATCATTATGTTGAATATGATTATGTAAAGTGCAAGCAGCAACGACTATCTTCACTTGTGTTTCATAAGGATATATTGATCAGTGTTTCAAAAAGTGCTAGGCGGCCCCTAGGTGGCCATGGGAGTCCAGGCCGCCCAACGCCTAGGCGGGCGCTCAGAACTTGGGTGGCCCAGTTTAAAAATAAATAAAATAAGACCATAATCCCAATATTTTGATAATCTATAAGACCATAATCCATATTTTTCATACAATGCTAAAATAATAAGACCATACAAGCATACACTAATAGTTTGATATACTGTAGACTCTACACACAAAAGTTAGAAAGTAGAACTAGAAAACTAGAAACTAGAAAGTAGAAACTAAAAATAAGGAAAAAAATATATACAAAAATTGAGAAAATATACAGACGCAATAGTCAACACTCAATACAACAATCAATAGTCAACACTCAACACCATGAGTCTTCAGTGATCATGATTATCATCATCTGAAGGAATATCGGCAGCTTCATTATATGTATCAGAATCGGGGCCATCATCATCATAGTCATCTCCCTCTTCAATATAACGCTCATTCTCCTTTGTTTCTTCCTCCTCTTCTTCTACCTCCCTCTTGCTAATATATGCAGATGATGCCCTAAGAGTCTTAGTTGCTCTACCATTTTTTATCTTTTTGTGTTTCCTGAACTCAAATATTGTATAATTTCATCTCTGGTAGCCTCTGGAATATTTTTACTTGGGGCAACATCCCCGTTAATACTAGCAAGGTGTGTTTTAAATTGGTAAATGCCCACATTAGTATTATTTCCACAATAATTACATTTAATACGGTTTTTTGTCATTCGGATTCGGGTTATAACCATACTTCCAACCCAGATCACCACTTCTAGAAGAACCTGGAGAAGATATTTTTTTAGAACAAGGCTCATTTTCATCATTTTCTGATTCTTTTAAATTCAGAAGTTGTCTAATCTCATCTCGAATAGCTTCAGGAACCTTTTTACAATAAGCAATATTCCTTTTAATACCAACAAGATGTTTCTTGAATCAGTTAATACCCCCATTAGTAACTTTTTTACAAAAATTACACTTTATACAATTTTTATCATTTGGTTTTGGGTTATAACTATACGTCCAACCCGGATCACTTCTTCTAGAAGTAGCAAAAATAGATCTATTCTAATGACAAGGATTTTGTTCTTGTTTGTGTTTTACAAAATTCATATATTGCTTAATCTCCTCTCTGTTAGCTTCAGGAACATTTTTACAAGGGGCAACATCCCCCTTAATAATGGCAATATACTTCTTAAATCAGTTTATTCCTCCATTCGTATCTTTTTCACAAAAATTGCATCTAATGCAATTTTTGTCATTTGGATTTGGGTTATATCCATATTTTCAAACTGGATCTCTACTTCTACTAGATCGTGAAGAAGACATCTCAAAATAAAACAAGCAATCTAAAAAATAAATTTTTGCACTTATTTTGATTGCTCGAACTCCAAACTCTTTCCTCTGAGATGTTTTCTAATGTTAAAATAGTAAAAAAACACCCTCTGAGAGGATTATAAATCTCCAAAGCCAAATCCACTTGGGTGATGTTTGGATCCATTTTCTGTAGCTTTGAGAAGCACATCGATCCAATGAAAGTCACAAAATTTAGTTTTTTTGAGGTTTCTTCTCTCTAAAATGGGTTCTTATGGGTTTAGGTTTGAAATAAACCTAAAGCTCATCCTTCAAACCCTTTATATTTCAAAAAATATCAATACAACTTAAAAAAAAAAAAAAATTCTGCCCTTGAGCGGGACGCAAGCCCTGGGTGTTGGGCCCCCGCCTAGGCGGGTTCCGTACCGTCAAGGTGGCACTCCAACATGGTGAATGCCAAATACTTTCACTATGTGCAGTAAAGAAACAACATGGTGCTCCATAAAATGGAACTAGAAAACCTTCCAATTGAACTAATAAAAGAATGCACCCCAACCACAAAATAGGGAACCCAATTTAAGAGCAAACAAAACAGACATTCTAGAGCGAGAAACAAGGAACTCACCTCACTGTAAGCTAAAGACAAATAGTACTAGCAATGCTAATGTAAAATGAGTTATGAAGAAACCCAATAATGAAGAACAAAAGAGACCAAAGATCCAATGATCAAATGTGTTTCAATGAAATCACATATTTGAACCTCCATTGCATTTTAAGGCCACCACAAAGTCCTCATGGATCATCATTACTAGTTCCAAAAAACTAGAAATTTTTTACTAAATAATATACTTATACTATAGGTCAAAGAATGGAGCAGGTGGGTACCAGAAAACCAACCAAATGATCCAGAACAAAAACCAAGATTAACTTAGTGTAGACTAGGAAAACAAGTTTCTCATTCAATAATTTTCCAAAACAAAGTAATAAAAAAAAAGAATCAATCACATAACAAAAAAAAAGCATCAATTCCATAAAAAAAATAATCAATTTACCACTTCATGTGAACACTATATATAGATAGAGAGAGCGCCAAATCCCATAACAAACCATGAAAGGGAGATAAATAAACCTAAAATTAACAATATATGATGTATTTACCCTAAATTGGTTGAAATGCTACAAAGCACTTCAAAAAATAAAATTGGGGAAAGATTTCTAAATTGGTTGAAATGCTACAAAGTACTTCAAAAAATAAAATTGGGGAAAGATTTCTTACTTCAAATATCTGATGAGGTGATGGAAATGAGGGAGAAAGAAACCCCGAGGGAGATTGATAGCCAGAAAAGTTGAGGTGGGAAAGAAAAATAGAACCTTAAACAGTAGAAATAGAACTTTAAAGGTTGAAATGGTCTCTGGTTGGGGTTAATAAGGGTCGATAGTATTACGGCATTTGGAGTGCCGTAATACAAAGTGTAATTTTTACAAGAAAAAAACTACTGTATGATATGGCCAAGTGTAATATTACTTCAAGTTACTATACCATATAAAATGTGATATATATTATGGTAGTACGACTACTGTGAAGGTCATTTTGATAAGAAAAAAACCAAAAAATGAAGAAAAAAGATATAGACTAGGTTTAGAAAAGTTTGATTTTTTTTTTCAATTAAACTGTAATTAAAGTATATTTGCAATAATTACCCTAGAATCTTTTAGTACACCTGTACTTCGCGAGAGAGTATATGCACAATATGATCCTGTGGGTGCTCATACCCCCGCGCTCTCTCTGTGTTGCATTTACCAGTGCAACGTGAGATTTTGTGATAAATCCACTAGAATGCATATACCGGCAACCAAACCAAAGCGAGAAGGAAAGAGCATGGCTGCCCAAAATGTCGTCTTCATTTCTTTTCGCTCTCCAATTCAACCCCCATTTCATGGTGATAGGCTTACACCATTTTCTCTCTCCTTTGCTCATCATGAGACGATACCCTACGCTCTCTCTATCTCCTCAATGCTTTCACAATGTTCAAAGCAGTGGCCTTCTTCTTCTTCGTTAGACCTTCATACGGTAGGTAAGCCCATAAAACCCTAATAAATACAGTTTAAGCTGTTTTCTCTATCTAGAATTTAGCATGTCGCTTATCTCTAGGTCTCAGTGTTTTGCTTCTTTTGCAATGTACAGGAACCAGACCTAGGGCTTCTCTCTCTGTTTCGAGGAATTGGGTTTCTGGAGAGAGAAACAGAATATCTGCTGCATGAAAACCCTCTTCTTCTGATAACCCCAGTTGAATCGATTAGGTCGAGGTTAGAGTCTCTAATGTCCATTGGAATCCCAGAAGCTGCTCTCCATTGTTTGATTGATGAAAGACCAGAGATTTTGACGGCTGAGGTCTACACGTTCCTCAAATTTGCTGCACAGAACTTGAAAGGAATCAAATCAGAAAGAATTGAGCGTCTTTTGATTGGAGCTGAGCTTGATTCTCTCTCTGATATTTCTACAAGAGTTCAGTTGTTTATCGATCATGGAGTTCCCCATGAAAAACTGGTTCAAGTTTTGAGCAAGGTCAATCTCAAGAAGGTTTTCTCTGAAATGACTGTCGATGAAATTGATAGGGTAATCACATTTTGGAAACAGTATGACATTGACAACCATTGGTGTTCCTGCATAATTCGACGACCTGCTCTGTTAAACCTCGATCTTGAAATCTTTATCATCCCTAGGATTGATTTTCTCTTGAATCTTTGCAAGGATGAAAGCTCAGTGAAAACCCTAATCAATCGATTCCCCCATGTCTTAGCCTACACTGTCAAGCATGTGGAAATGGACAGCAATTTTTGGAGAGGAGAAGGCTTCTCTGATGCTGAATTCTTCAAGATTGTGGAGGTTTATCCTAGTATTTTTAGTGTGAGCATAACCAGGAAACTTAGACCTAGGGTTGAGTTTCTCAAGAATTGTACCTTGAATAAGGATGACCTATTCAAGTTTCTTATCAAAGCTCCATTGTTTCTTAGCCTCTCACTTGAAGGGAATTTAGCCAAGAAATTGGCTTTCTTGGTTAAGATGGGCTATGAGCCTCGTACAAGAGAACTGGCCATGGCTATGGGTTCCACAACTAGAACCAGTAGCGTGAATATGCAGATGGTTGTTAATGTTCTTATGAATTATGGGTTTTCTTGCTCTGATATATTGTCGATGAGCAAAGTTCATCCTCAGATATTGCAATACAACCATACATCATTGGAATTGAAGATTGATTATTTGATCAATGTTATGTGTAGGGATACAGAGGAGCTGTTATCTTTTCCTGCTTATCTTGGGTACAAGCTCAACGACAGGATTAAGAGGCGCCATGAGATTAAGACGTTTGTAAAAGGAAGGAGTTCAAGTTCAAATCAGTCGGACCATTTTTCACTAAACAAACTTTTGAGCGTGCCTAGTAAGAGATTTCCACATTTCAATGCAGACTGTATCATCTGTTGATGCTGAGAATTAGAGTATATAAACTGTGAATGTGTGTATATGCAAGCTCATTGATGCAGATTTTGGGGGTTGCTTCTTGATAAGTTTTTGTGTTCTTGTAATGTCTTTGGAATTTTGAACCATTTGCAATGGTTTAAATCTCAAAAACTGAACATTTATGCTACTGTAAGGCATGTTAGATGTCACCTTAAACTCTTGATATTTCAGGATCTAACATAATTTGAGTTAGGATGTGTTTGACGACTGGGACCTGAGATATGGGGCATCCCAAGTTCCAGCCCATGCTTCAACTTCTTAATTTGGTTATGCTCCCCATTCAGGGTGTCGTAAGTGCGCACTCTTTGAAAATGAGGTGTGCACCCTTCCATCTACCACTAAGAGAGCGGTGCTTTGGGACAATAGGGAGCTCATCCCTCTCCTTTTATTTTCTATTCGCCTTAGAAAAAGCCCTCATCACCCCACCCAAACTCTTAACCGCTCTCTCTCACTAGCCAAGCTTGCTTCGTTCCCACTAAACTTCGTTCCCCCCTCTTGGTTTCAACCATGATCTGAGGTAAGTTCGTCTCCTCCTCTCTTTGTTCATTTGGTTATTGTTTCTTCTGTCTAAGTTTATCCTGTGCATGATTTGTTTTACACTTCTCTTGTTGTTGTTTGGTATGCATGATTTGTTTGTTCTCTCATATATATATATATATATATATATATATATAGATATATACATGTAGTGTCTGATCCGTTTTCCCCTGCATTTGTCGCGGTAATTTAGTTTATAGCTGTTGTTGTGGTCCTTTTATGGATGATATGTCTATGGTGAAAAATGGACGTTGGTTTTTGTTGTGGTTTCATTATGCAATTGCTCTCTCTCTCTCTCTCTCTTCTTCTTTGTTTGGAGTGGTTTTGTTTTAAATTTCTAGAGTTTTGTTGCCCTTCCTCTGAATTCCCGAAAGAATCAATTTGGTTTTCTTTAAATGGTTATGAATAATGCTTGGTTCTCTGATATGAATCGGACTGGGTGATAAAAATGACATCTTTTAGTTGCACTATATGAATGATGGTAACTGGTATAGCTTTTTCTATGGGGAATCTTATGCGCTGATCATGAGGGAAACTGCGTGTTTTGCGGTTGTCATGCTTATATATCAGTTAGTCTTGGGTTGTCAATTTCATATTCTGGGTTTACTAATTTGAGCTTCATAAGATATCCTCTCGGCCAAAGGTTAACATTCTAAAAAAAAAGATATCCTCTCTACCCTAATATGTTCAAAATTGTGTTCCTTTTAATTTGAGTTGATACGGATTTATTAGTTCTTCTTTGTTTGGGGAAGTGGTTCTGTTTTGAATTTCTGGGTTTTTTTTTTAATTTCTGGAGTTTTGTTTCCCTTACTCTGAATTCCTGAAATGATGAATTTGGTTTTCTTTAAAGGTTGTGGTTTTATAGGGCTGAGACCCCAAACAATCAAAGTCAGACACAACTTTAAATAGTATGGGAATATGTTTTTCAGTACTGGAAATCTTTGTGATGACTTGAAATTTTATTTTCATATCTGATAATAAATTTTAAGGCTTAAAAAATATTGTAGATCGAGCAGATCTATGAACACTTTGAAATTTTTTGAAAATTGACGGTCCAAATAATGTTTGGTTGATATGAACAGGACTTGGTGAGAAAAATCACATCTTTTAGTTGAACTATTCGAATGATGGTAACTAGTATAGCTTTTTCTATAGGGAATCTTATGTGCTGATCATGAGGGAAACTGCGTGTTTAGGGTTGTTATACTTATATATCAGTTAGTCTTTGGTTTTCAATTTCATATTCTGGGTTAACTAATTTGAGCTTCATAAGATATCAGTATTTATAATGAATTATATGTTTTGAACCCAATATATGTCATTCGATTGCTTTCCCATTTCGTTATGCATGAGTGAGAAACTTCATCGTTATCTTCCTGTTTTACCTATAGAGACTTTATTTGTCTTAATTTTATGGCATTGTGCCTGGTTACATGTGTTTGACTTTGCTTCTCAGGCAGTAACTTAAAACCAATGGAGGCTCAAGTGCAGCTTTTATCTGAGATATTTTGAAAGATTTCCTCAATTATGGGGGATACTACGAGTTGCGTAGAATGAAGTTATTGATTGGAAACAAAGGGGTTTGTGAATGGCTCTTTGTTTGGCTTTTGTTTCCACAGAAATGATGCTGATAATGATGCGATTATCGCTTTCTACTTTCTTGTTCCACCAATCTAAATGGAATTATGACATTATGAACATGCCACTCTCATATGTAGTCATGGCAAAATCTTGAAGAGCTAGAGGGCGTTCTTGCAGTACATCATTTGATCTATTACCAATCACATAGTGCATATTAGATTGTCTAGCTCTTGATATTGTTTTGGTGGAGAAATAGGCAAAGTTTCAAAATTGGAGGTTTTAATTGTCTAATCTGGTTCCTAAAAGTAGTTATCATGCCATAAATTACCTTCATTCCGAACGTGGAATTATATATGGTCTGTTGCTCAAGAAGGTTCCATATCTGATTTGGATAATGCTTTGATAGCATTGAAGAAGAATGTTGGAATATCTACTGGGCTCAGCAGTCCCGTGTCAAATGGTTCAAACACGGAAACCAGAATACTGTGCTTTTTCTTAAAATCGCCGACTGCTGAAGGCGAGTCAATACTATAATCCAGCTTAAAATCGGAAATCAAATTCTAGATCAACTCCCACTCGTAGAAGGCGCCATCATCGTTTTTTTCTAGAACCTCTTCAAGGCTCCCACTAGGCTGTGGCCAAGGATGGCGGACCTATATTTCCTAACCATCCCCCCTCACTCAGTTGCATGGCTTGAACGCCCAGCAGAAATCCTCATGGCTATTTCTGATCTTTGGCCAAGACTTGGCCGCTGGGGCCTGATGGAATCCCAATTGCCCTATTTAAAACTTTTTGGCCCTCGGTTAAATCTGATATAATGGCTTTCTTCCTAGAGTTTCATCCAAAGGGTAATCCACAGGGCTATGAACACGACTTTTATCGCTTTGATCCCGAAAATCGAAGGGGCAGAGGAACTCAAAGATTTTAGACCAATTAGGCTCATCAATATTTCCTACAAAGTCCTATCAAAAGTGCTTGCTTTTAGACTTCGAGGGGTCCTTGGATGGGTCATTTCCCCCACCCAGGTTGCATTTGTCAAGGATAGACAGATCCTTGATGGTGCTTTGGTCGTACACGAGCCCATCCACTCAAGACACGTCTCTAAAATCCATGGGATTGTTGTAAAGGTGAATTGGGAGAAGGCCTACGATCATGTCGATTGGCGTTTCCTTGACAAGGCTCTATCACACATGGGTTTCGGGGATCAAGGACATCTTTGGATAAAGGGTTGTGTGTCCAGCCCATTTTTCTCTGTTATGATAAACAGCTCCCCTAAGGGATTCTTCCCTTCCTCTCGAGGACACTGTCAAGGAGACCCCCCTTCTCCCTTTTTATTTGCAATAGTGGGTGAGGTGTTCAGCAAATCTACAAAGTTGAGCTTCTTAAAGGCTTCAAGGTGGGTTTCCAATGCCGCATCATCAGCCACCTATAGTGTGCCGACCACAGGCTGGTCTTTTGCGCCGCCTCCACTCAGCAGCTGCATCACCTTCTCATCTTCTTGAAATGCTTTGAAATGGCATCTGGCTTGAGGGTCAATATAGCCAAGACTAAAATGTCAAGGGTGGTGGTAAATCCATCTCTAGTTGGTACTTTTGCATCCCAGTGGGGGTGCACAGCTGGACTCCCCTCCACTTATTTGGGCTTAACTCTGTCTTGGTAAACCTAAGCTCAACCTTTGGAGTCACATAATAGATAAAGTTCGATTGTAGATTCGCGAGCTAGAAGGGTAGATTCCTTTCATCAGCATGGCACACCACTCTCATTAAGGCCACCCTCTCAACTATACCGATCTACTAAACGTCTCTATTTCACGTGCTGGCCCCCGTGGTGCGGCGTCTAGAACAACTCTTGAGAAATTTTGTTTGGTGGGGAAGTGGGGACAAGAAAATCCACCTCATCTCATGGTCTAAGGTTTGCTCCCCCAAGTCTCAGGGCAGTCTCAGGAGACTCAAGCTTAACAACCTTGCCCTTCTCAGAAAATGATGGTGGCAGCTGGCCACCAAAAGCAACCATCTGTTGCAGGATGTCATCAACTCCAAATACCGTACTTTGGACCCATCTTAGGTCCCTGAGTGCAGAGCCCACAGTAACTATTCTGGGGCCTGGAAATCAATCCTTTGCCCATACATTCCAAATCCAAAATCAGAATGCGCCCTCGCAGTAGTAATAGAACCCTCGTTTGGTTAGACCCATGGGTGGGCCATGAATCTCTAAAAGTCCATTATCCCAGTTTGTTTGGGCTCATTAGGAACCCACAGGCCTTGGTCGAATTCCAGATGGAAGTCTCGGGCTATAGTCAAAACTGGAATCCCAATTTTAGAAGGGCTTTGGCAAACCACAAATTGCAGCAGTTTGTCAGCCTCTCAACCTTGCATTCTCTCTTCCTCCCGCTTCAGGGCCCTGATAAACTAGTTTGGACCCCCACTCTTTCGGGAGTTTTCTCGGTCGCATCTTTTTATATCTCCTTTTCCCAACCCCAAACCCCCAATGGCGGTCAGTCTATTTCGGTTAGAGCCTGGTCCCCATTTATTCCTCAAAAAATTCAATTCCTCTTTTGGATCCTTATCTCCAAAAGAGCCCTCATAGTCAACCTCCTTCAGAGGAGAGGGATGCAAATCCCTAACAGATGTAGCATGTATTTGGAGGAAGAGGAGGCCAATGCCCACCTCTTCATCCATTGCAAAGTGGCCCTCCTCCCATTGAGCTGATCTCCTTCAATGGTCCCATTGGCAATGGGTCAAGCTCACTTCTCCCCTCCCTGGTGTAAGGCGGGTATCACTTTATGGAAGCGTCTGTGGCAGCTACCCTCTTGGTCATCTGGCAGGAAAGGAACAGTAAAATCTTCGCAGCCAATGGTCTAACCCCTAACTTTGATTGAGAAGATCAAATCCTTGGTTATATTCAGCCACTTATCCCTCTCGGACTTCCAACTCAATTGGCCCACCTTGTTGAACCTGTCATCCTTTGGAATACCTTGTGCTTCGTTGTGGAGACCCCAGATTCTGGCCAGATCAAGCTAGACTTTGATGGCTGCTCCTTGGGTAACCTAGAGCCAGCAGGCATCAGGGGTTTATTTCGAGACAAAGAAGGTGTAATTTTGAGTTTCCTCTCCCTTCCTATTGGTTATTCAGATTCCACTTCGGGAAGGCCTCAAGAATTTTGATTCATCTTGGGGCCAAACTCTAATAGTTGAAGGTGATTCCAAGAACGTTTTGGCTGGGGCCTCGAACAGTTCTTTGTGGCCTTGGAGACTGGATGATGTTTTTGATGAGAGATTCAACAACTTGGTACCTCGCAACTTAGTACCTCGATCCCAATACTTTGCTGCCACATTTGGGGAGAAGCCGATTCCAAGCCGACTCCTTGGCTAAGGAAGGGGCTTCCCCATCAGCTCAACGTAGGGAAGCGTCGTAGCACCTTTTTGAGCATGCGCCTTCCTATCTTTGCTTTTTGCCTATGCTTATCTTTCCTTCTGTATAGCATTGTCTGATTATTCCTTTTTTGTAGAGGGCACCCATCTGTGGTTTGCCTTTAAACTTACAACCTTTGTAATTCTATTTCTTTAAATACAATGTTAGCTCACTAAAAACAAATGCAAGAAATTGATGTGTCCTTAGTCATTGCAAAATGGAGAAATTATTTGCCCAAAAAAAAATATTGCAAAATGGAGAAATCATTTGCCAATTGTGAGATTACTAGCTGCTGGTGCCGATCCTGATGCCAGCGTGAGTACAAATGTGTTTGTATGCTATGAGTTATTTGGGCTTGTTCTTGGCCTTTTCTTTATGGAAAATTGATTCATGCAGGCTGGACCTCATTTCTACATATGTGATGGACCTCATTTCTACATATGTGGTCCAGAAAGTGTAAAGCATCTATCTTAAATATGGATGCAAGAAGGTGTTCCATCTAAAAACAATGGAAACTAATGGTCCAAATGTTTTCTTACTAGAATTGTTATTTTGAGTTTTCAAAATTTATTTATTTTTTCACGTTCGTGATCTTCATGTTAGAAATTACATGTCCTTAAAAAATTAAGTCTTAAAATCTATCTCAAAAATATATTTATTAAGAAGCACGCATTTCTACATATGCGGGCTTGGCCGCATAGAAACCAGGGCCTTTCTTTATATTTACCCCTTGGAGAAAAGGGAAAAAAAAAAGGACTTTTCAATATGATGATAGCTAAGGGCTCATTGAGTATATTGTAAAGGAAAAGAATGTCCATGGATTTTTATGTTTTAGAAGTGTTCTCTTCACAAGCTAAGAGAAGTACCGGGAAATTCTCACCGGATTACTACCCAAGAGATTGAGGCTATTATCTTTTGTACGTGGAGGTCAATTATTTCACTCTTTAGATGTTAAATTAGATGGCTTGGGGTGAGTTACAAAGTTCGATAATTTTTTTTGGAACTTTCTGTCTATTCAATGACACTCTTACAACCACCCATTTTGAAATTTAAGGGACAATAACGATTGTGACCTCCATTTAAAACAGATAAATGATCTTTATGTAGACAGTCCGTTTTAGGGATGGGAAGGTTTCTATACTTGCCCTACAACATAGAAGATATATGTTTCCCCTACCATCCAGCCATCCAATTTTGATCGAGTGAGTCACTCACCTTTCAAATTTTGAACATTAGTTTGATTGTTTCCATTGTTTCAAAGGAGTAATTTTCAAAATTTGAACAGTAATTTTGTTCATACAATTTGTATAAAAAAAATTGTATAAAAAAATTTAAAACTTCATTATCATACAATTTGTATAAAAAATTAAAAATAAAATACTCTGGGGTGTCACCTGGACCATTAGTTTCGATTAGCAAGAAAATACTCTAGTGGACGTGCCATCTTCTCAATGGAAAATTTTTCCTTTTATACAAATTGTATGAATATGAAATTTGGTACGTGCCATCTTCTCATTGAAGCGAGTCTACAAAAAAATAGTAAAAATAATTTTTCGATAAAATATATTGACCAAAATACGCCTTGAAACTTTCAAGGATATTTTAGTCATTTTATTTTAATGGGAATATTTATTTTATAGTTTTTACAAGTACGAATTTAATAGAGGATTGGACACCCAAAATTTGGTGTCAATATTTTATAGAAAAATTAAAAATAAAATTGTGTATGTAGAGACATGACATTGTGATTGGGGCAATCTTTGCCCTCCATTCAGAATGGACGGTTGGATAAGTGTAAGTATATAAGTTTTATGTTGTATAGGAAGCATAGAAAGTGTGCCTTTTAGATATTGTCTACAAAGAGACCATTTATCATTTGTACATGGAGATCACAATCATTTCACTCTTTAGATGTTAAATTAGATGGCTTGGGGTGAGTCACGAAGTCCGAAAAAAAATTTTGGAACTTTGTCTATTCAATAAGACTTGCAACCACCCATTTTGAAATTTAAGGGATAAAAACAATTGTGACTTCCATATACAAAAGATAAATGGTCTCTTTGTAGGCAATCCCTCTTTTTTATTTAGTTTATCGTTAAAAGAGGTAATGAATAATACAGATACTAACAAGGCGTACAAGAAGGAAAAGAACATAGGGCCTCATCCAGGCTTATACAATGAAGGATGTTCTTGCTTTTAAATGCATGAATTGTGGTACTCATATAACAAAGTATTTGTAGAATGACTTATCATGAAAATTCGGGTCATCCATGAATTTAGGAAATTCAATCTTGGGTTCCTGTGTTTCTTGAATAAGAAACTAGAGTTAATAGTGCAAAGTGCTAATTAAATTACTATAAAATAGTTGGGTTACTTCTTGTACGTCATTACATTTTGGGAAATCTAAACCGTTCTTCTTACTTATCTCTTGTGGATGGCCTGTTAGATTCTCGTTCAATAAACCAATATTACCCCTCAATACAAATTCTTGAATGTATGGATTGAAAATACTACCCCTGAATACAAATTCTTGAATGTATGGATTGAACTAGTGAATTACCAGGCCTCCAAGTTTGATGACATCTAGGCGATACCAAACATAGGTTTCTAGGCTTCCTCTAAATTTGCCAAACACAATAATAATTTTCCAGTACATGGATTGTATCATCCAACTTCACTGGGAGAAAGAACTTCTAGGTTCCAAATAATATAGCCAAACAGAATTTCCAGGTTCTAGATAACAACTAGTTTCCAGTTATCAAAGTCACCTTTAGGGCGTGTTTGATAACAGTTAGTTGCTTCCTGGAAGTGAGAAGTTACGTATTACTGTTCCTTTTATGTGTTTGATAAAAAATGGAAGGCAAGGAGAGAAGTTCTACTTTGCTGTTCATGTTTTACTTTTTATACGTAAAAAAAAGTTCCGACCAAAAGGTCAGAACTTGAAAATGGAAGTTCATAAAAACTTCTGCCCCCCGATAAAAAATGCCTCTTCCACCATTGAGAAGCGGTACGTAGAGAGCCCTCTCTCTGTCATCTCTCACACAGATTTTTACCAAGAGCCCTCCTCGCCAGTGAGAAGCAGCGCACAAAGATTTTTATCAATAGGTCGAGCTCCATTGTTCCTGTGTTTGTTCGGTTCACCAACCTCCCATCCGCCATTAACATTAGAGCTCCAAGTATGGTTCTTTTTCTTTTTTCTTCTATAAACCTCTTTCTCTTGCTAGGGTTTGTTGGATCTTCAATATCTGTATTTTTTGCCCTGATTTTCGAGATATGTTTATTAATGGATGTGTTTTTGCCAATTTATGTGATTTTGGGCTGGTTTTGGAGAAGTCATGAGATTTGTGGCATTTTAGTTAAGATGTTTTTGGGGATTTCCTGTTATTATAGCTTTATAAGTATCTTTATGACATTCTTCTTGGAGATTTCTTTTCTGATGATTTGTGATATCTGTGATGTCTTCCTCATCAAAGAACACATTGTTGTGTTGGATTATCTGTGCGCTCAGTAATTTGTCACTCTATTCTCGTGGAGTGAAGAGTGGGGTTGCATGATCTCAATATAGTTATTGCAAGAGAGGGGTTTGACTGAACTAAGTTTTCTATGAATAACAGTTCCAGAGATGGGGGTTGCACGATCTCAATAACAGTTCCAGAGATGAATAGACTGCATCATTTTAGTATAGCTTGATTCCTTGTTTCCTTTGTGAATAGACTGAACTAAGTATTTGGTTCGTTGTATTTGTATGTATTTTCTTCTAGAGGATAAGGGGATTCACTGTCATTGTGTGGTTGTGGTAAAGTTTCAGACTTTTATTGGTGCCATTATTTAAAGAAAATAATTGGATGGCTATCCATTATTTTTTGTTGGTGATGCTCCTATTGGCGTGGTGCATACCCTTTAGATTTGTTCTGGCGTGTACCTTGTGCTTCTATATATGATTGTGATGGATCTTGTGTCTTGTTTATTTTCATGTATGGGATACTTAGTACCATCATTATCAGTGAACAATGGTCGACTGCATCTGGAAATATGATGCATGTATAATGAAGTGGTGGTTCCAATGTTGTCCCCAGTTGTAACTATGGGACCCATGTGCCCTTCAAGATGCAATTGCATCTGGAAATGTACGTGAACAGAAAGATGCATTGTGTGGGCCTATGGAATGGCTTTTTATTGTCATGTTTTGATCACCCAATTGGTTATCAGACAATAATTTTGGTAAGTATTCCTAAAGTTATATTTGATCCAATTGGATAGGCAACTCAAAGACTGCAAAAATGCTTGGCCTACTGATGGGAGCAAGATTTTTAATTGGGTCAGCTATTCATTGAGGCCTCTCCTGCCAATATCAGTAGTTCTTGTAAACAGAGCGAGTACTGGTAGATTTGTTGTTACCACTGCATTAAACTAGTACCCCCCATCTCTCTCTCTCTC